CATGACGAAGAGGTGCAGCCACCACTGCTCGTCCGACATGCCCGTGCGGCCAGCGTCCTCGTCTCTCGCGCAGTCGATGGTGACGCCCTTGCGCAGCGTCTGGCCCTGCGACAGCGTGGAGGTCAGGTAGGACGCGTGCGTCAGCGTGAACCCCGAGCGGCGCACAGTGTGCGCCCCCGAGCTCTGCCACGTGAACTCCTGCTCGCTGGGCCTGAACATGAGCAAGCTCCTCGCCCGCGCCTGGGCCTCGCCGTCGTCGTCAGCGCCCTCGGTGCCCTGCAGCAGCACCTCGGCGACCTCCTTGTAGATCGGGGACTCCTGGAAGCCGTGCACATGCAGCCAGATTCCCTGCGGTAGGAAGCGGGGGCGGAAGAGCTGGCCCGGCGCGCACTCCTCGTAGTCCCGCTCGTCGTCTGCGTGAAACTCGAAGGACACGATGGTGGCCCGTTGCTCCTGCACGAGCCCCAACTTCTTCTTCAGCTCCTCCTGCACGGCCGTGAACCGGACCTCCATGCCGACGTGTGCCGGTAAGACGCCGTGGATGTCCCCCGTCTTGTGCATGTTCGGGACGTTCAGGAGGCGCCGGCCTGCGTCTGGTTCGCCTTGAATCGTGCCGCACTCGTCTACGGCCTGCAGGAAAACGAGGGGGACGCCGAGGCGCCGCGCGTCGCGACGAGCGCGCGTGTTGATCCACCTCGCCAGCGTCTCCCAGTAGATGCCCATGCCGTAGCCGAGCCGAAAGTTCTCGTGCTGGCGCCGAGGGTCCAGGACGCCGTGGTTGTCAGAGGCCAACGTCTTCTCCCAGGCAGACCAGACCTCTGGTGGGAAGCGCTTGCCCTCGCGCATGCAGCCCAAGAACGCGATCAGAGGGTCCCCCGGCTCGAAGCGCTTCGTGCCCTTCAGCTCGAAGACGCAGGGGATCTGAGAGCATACCCTGATGGCGTGCTGGATCTCCACCGTCGGCGGCTCCGCGTACTTGTACGACCCGTCGTCCAGGGGCTCGTTCACGTCCGTCAGGAGCCCGATGCTGCCGGTGGGCTTCAGCTGCAGGAAATCCCCGAGGTGCAACACGATGGGGACGCGGCCGAAGTGGTGGTGCGGCCTCTTGTAGGTGGACTCCTGCACGTCGTGCGTGTCACTGCGCCCGTGGCAGGCGCGGAGGTCCAGAGCGTTGTACAGAGCAGCTGCCACCATGCTCACCTCCTCGATGACCAGGACGCGGACGTGCTCCCACAACCACTGCAATCTCTTCTGCATGCTCCCCGGTCTCATCTTCGCGTTGATGTACTTCTGGACTCGCAGGGCACAGGCGTTGTGCAGCGTTCTGGCCTTCACCGTCTCCGTGGAGATGTTCTTCGCCTGCGCGTTCGAGAAGGCCACGACCATCATGGCGCCCTTGTCCTGCGCCGACGAGGGCCACAAATACTCCACCACTGAGAAGACGATCTTCTGCACCACGTGCGTCTTCCCCGAGCCGCCCTGGCCCAACAGGAGCAAGTGCGTCACTTTTCTCTCGCTCCAGGGCTTCTTCTGCACGTCGTCCTCCCAGGCGTCGTCGCAGGCCTTGGCGAACTTGGCGACGAAGAGCGCCTGGTCCCGCGTGAGTCTCTGGTTCTCCGGCAACCCAGCGACCAGGGCGGCGATGCACGCGCTGGGCGTTGAGTACACGCTGCTGGCAAAACTGGCCGCAGCGGGGTCGCCGCCCAGGCCGCCTGCGCCCGCGTCCTCGCCGTCCGGAGCGCCTGCATCTTCCTCGTCGCGATTGTCCTGGAGGCGTTCGTCGCGCAGGTTTCCCCAGGCGTGTCTCTCCTCGCGCGCCGCGGTCACCAGCGGTCGGTACCCGGCCGCGGGCGCGGGAGCAGTCGCGGCCTCCGTCGGCTCGGGCGCACCCGCGCCCTCGCGGGCCGCCTCGGACATGCACGGGAGCGCGAGGAGCTAGAGACGTCGAACCTTTTCAAGTTCCCTCTCCAGCCCAATCCTGCCACGAACGGGAAAGTGAACCTTTTCAAGTTCCCTCTCCCGCAGCTAGAGAGTGAACCTTTTCAAGTTCCCTCCCCAGCCCAAACGAACGCGGGAGAGTGAACCTTTTCAAGTTCCCTCTCCCGCCGACGACGACAAGGTTGGCCAGCAATTGGACGTGGGCAAGTCGAAAGAGAATATTCAGGCCGCAGGAGCGAGTTCCCCTTCGATCCTCCAAGTGACGACAAGAGACGGTCCTCAGACGGGACTACCCGCACCGCCCACAGACAAAGTTCCCGCTTGATACTTCCCCCTTGTTCAGGCCGCAGGAACTGAGGAGCCCAAAAAGCTCGCTCGGATGACCCGCTCGGGTTCGAACATGAAGTGCGTGCCCCACAGGGATGGAGCGCCCGCCTGATACTTCTCCCATATTCAGGCCTCAGGAGCCCAAAAGCGACGACAGTTACAGGTTTCCCGATGACCCGCTCGGATTAGTAAGATGATCTGCGGGCCCCATAGGGAGGGGGCTTCCGCCTGAGACTTCCTCGCAAGTCACTCACAGACGAGGCTCCCGCCTGATCCTTCTCCCATATTCAGGCCTCAAGAGCCCAAAAGTGACGACAGTTACAAGATTCCGATGGCCCGCCTCGGATTAGTAACATGATCTGGGGGCCCCATAGGGAGGAGACCCCCGCCTGAGACTTCCTCGCAATTCACTCACAGACGAGGCTCCCGCCTGATACTTCCTCCAAATTCACGCCCCAGGAGCCCAAAAGTGACGACAGTTACAGGATCCCGATGACCCGCCTCGGATTGGTAAGATGATCTGCGGGCCCCATAGAGAGAGGCTCCCGCCTGAGACTTCCTCGCAATTCACTCACAGACAACGCTCCCGCCTGATACTTCCTCCAAATTCACGCCCCAGGAGCCCAAAAGTGACGACAGTTACAGGATCCCAATGACCCGCCTCGGATTAGTAAGATGATCTGCGGGCCCCATAGGGAGAGGCTCCCGCCTGAGACTTCCTCGCAATTCACTCACAGACGACGCTCCCGCCTGATACTTCCTCCAAATTCACGCCCCGGGAGCCCAAAAGTCACGACAGTTACAGGATCCCGATGACCCGCCTCGGATTAGTAAGATGATCTGCGGGCCCCATAGGGAGAAGCTCCCGCCTGAGACTTCCTCGCAATTCACTCACAGACGAGGCTCCCGCTAGATACTTCCTCCAGATTCACGCCCCAGGAGCCCAAAAGTGACGACAGTTACAGGATCCCGATGACCCGCCTCGGATTAGTAAGATGATCTGCGGGCCCCATAGGGAGAGGCTCCCGCCTGAGACTTCCTCGCAATTCACTCACAGACGACGTTCCCGCCTGATACTTCCTCCAAATTCACGCCCCAGGAGCCCAAAAGTGACGACAGTTACAAGATCCCGATGACCCGCCTCGGATTAGTAAGACGATCTGCGGGCCCCATAGGGAGAGGCTCCCGCCTGAGACTTCCTCGCAATTCACTCACAGACGACGCTCCCGCTTGATACTCGAGTGAGTGACGGACTGACTGAGTGATGTGTGACGCCAACGGATGATATCCTCATGTGATGATCATGATCAGTGAGTGAGTGAGTGAGTGAGTGAGCGATCGAGTGGTGTATGGGTAAGTGTGATGGTGCTGAGGAGGAGAGGCGTGGGTCATGATGATGATGACTGATGATGATGATGGCGAGAAAGAGGAAGAGAGAGAGAGAGGGTGTGAGATCCTGCGCGGGGGGTGTGCAGAGAAAACAAGAACCCCACTTTGGATGTGGGGAAAAAAGATGCACACGCTCTCATCTCTGCATACACATGCAATGTTTACGGGGACCAGTATGCCCGAACACCCGTATATATAGGTATGTGTGTATGGATTAAGAAAATGCAGGTTAACATGTCCAACGACTAGACGGATGCAAAGGGATTTGATGTCTGAATGTGGCTCTCGCCTTAACGCGGCGCAACATTACCCAAAAGCTTGCAACCGCAAAGCCGTTGGAGCGTGGGTGATTTTCCCAATGCAGCTCTCGCAATTGCGCCGCATTCATCCGTCTCAAAGCCTACAATGCGTGCACGGAGGGAGGTCGAGGGGGGGGGTCGACATGTCGTTCTGGCCTAAGCCGCGCGCTTGTTCGTCTCAAAACACACGGATGTGAGGTGATGTTCAACATGTGGTGCCCGCCCTTGCGCCACGCACAAGTGCCGTAATCGTTCCCAACAACTACTCACCTGTTCACAAGCAGGCTGTCGTTTGAAACTTCTCAAGTTGCATGGCCCGAGGTTGCCTGGCTGCGCAACAGCTACACGGGCCCAGGGCGATTCCTTTGCAGAATGGGGCCCTCACTTCAGAGGCCACTGGCTTTGATACTCAGGAACCTCCAGGTGTGCAAGGGCCACACTGGTGGATCACTACTCCTTTTCTGACATGTCTGACATGTCCGTATGCTACGACAGGCGTCTCGTATTACTAGAAGGGCTGGGAGCGACGTCCTTTTCAACACGTGCTTTTCGCCCGACTGGCAAGCGAATGGGGCGTGTGTCTGGCAAAGGGGCGCGCCCCGAGTGGGCATGGACGCCCGCAGGGACGTATGAGGAGCGGCCTCGGGACGACAAGGTGCATCGCAGCATCGTTGGCGCTCCTCCTCCACCTGGCTGTGCCCAGCTCCTTTCCCTTCTCCTTCCACTCCCCGTCTTCCTATCTGTATTCCTCCTCAAACTTCTCCTCCTCCTCCTCCTCCTCTTCCTCCTCCTCCTCTTCCTCCTCCCCGTCCTCCCCCATCCCCCCTCCTCCTCGCTCTACAATCCTCCTCCCCCTTCCCTTGACCCCCCCCACCCACGCACCCACCCACCCCCCCTCTCTCTCCCCAGGTCGGCCCCGACACGCGTCCGCGGATGGCGAAAAAGAGGCGTCATAGGGGAGGGACGGGAGGGACGGATAGGATTTCACGTGTGGCGCGAGCGCGCCTAGCTTGCCTCCCTCTCTCCCCCTCCCCGCGAGGGCCCCCGTCACAGCTGCACCAGGCCGAACTGCGCCG